TGAACATTGGGGTGCATAGGTTCTTTTGGATTGGTGTTTCAAGGTTCTTAGGGTATAATCCCAGCAGTAAATTGGCAGGTCAAAAGGCAGTTCCATTTTTCATTTTCTGAGGAAATTCCATACTGTTCTCTACAGTGGCTGCATCAGTCTGCATTTCCACCAACAGTGCACTAGGGTTCCCTTTTCTCCACATTCTCTCCAACACTTGTTTGTTGATTTGTTTATAATGGCCATTCTGATTGGTGTGAAGTGGTATCTCACTGTGGTTTTAATTTGCATCTCTCTAATGGCTAGCAATGCTGAAAATATTTTCATATGTCTCTGGACCTCTGTATGTCCTTGGAGAGTGTCTGTTTAGGTACTTTGCCCATTTTTTAATTGGGTTGTTTGCCTTCCTGGGTGAAGTCATGTGAATTCTTTATATATTTTGGAGATGGCCACATGGACCAGACTCAGAGCCAGGGTGGTTGTGAGGTCCATGTGTATGAATGTCTGAGCCCACAGGTGCATGCTTGCATTAGGGGTAGCTCAGTTTTGGGGCCTCAGGACATTTGAAGGTATAAAGACAGAGAACCAAAGTCTCTACAACCACCATTATGGTCTTTCTAGTGTGACTTTTTTCCTAAGTGTGGCTCTTTATTATGCTTAGAGTCTTAGGAATGTCATTTTTTCTGATTGTATCCTTTGCATGTGACTAACAACAGTTTTTTCTAATCCCTTAAATGAATATCAAAGTAAGGCTAATGAGATAATCAAATTATTAATGTTCAGAGTATAAACTAATATTATATACTTTAACTGACTGGATAATCCTTTTCACTGCCCTTAAAATTCAGTCAAAATAATCACATACAGATGTGCTTTTCATAGTTCCTTTACAATCATAAACTATGACAAAACAGCTGAAGGCTAAGAGATTATAAATATGTAAGTACTATACAAATATGCTTAAGAATTTCAGGAAGTATGTGTGATGTCAGCTGACTTCGGCAGCCAATACCAACAGTGCTTTGCTAATCCTTTCTTGTCTTTATTTAAGACTAGGTTTTGTTCCCATTTCTATGTCCCATGCTCCCTTTCTCCCAATTTTACAGGAGGAGCAGAGTAGTGCTGGCATCTTTCATAAGAATACACAGTAAGACGAGTTGAAGCAGGGAGCAGTTAGAGTTTTGTTATTGTGGTTCTTTATTTTTCTTTTAAGCAGGCAGTACTAGAGCCATTGGAAATTGTATTTGTAGGTCCGGAGTCTAAGCTGACAAATTGCTGAGAATCTTCATGTTGTTAGGGAGTGTAGTGAGTTTGAGCCCGGGCAGTGTGGCTCCGTTGGTCAGAGTGTCATCCTGTAACTGACACTCTGGGTTGGAGTTTTGATTCCTGGTTGGGGCACATACCTGGGTTGTGGGTTCGATCCCCAGTTTGTGTGGCTATGGTGGGTGGCCAGTTGATGTTGATCTCTTATATTGATGTTATTTTTTCTCTCTCTCTCTCTCTCTCTCTCTCTCTCTCTCTCTCTCTCTCTCTCTCTCTCTCTCTCTCTAAAATCAATAAACATTTTTTTAAAAAGAAATGTAATGAATGTGAACTTCAGATGATTGGAGTACCCCTACTGATAAACTAAACTTGGTAAGATTTACTTTTGAAATAGCAGATTTACTTTAGCAGCTGCTTCGCACCAGGGTGGGAGGGGAGACAGAAGTATCTTGAAGGGGATAGCTCCTCTCTTAAGGTGACCTGGCAGCTTCTGTTCCTGTTGTCACCTTGCTCTGTCTGTGGACCCTTCCTTAAAGACCTCACTCTACAGGAATGCTTCCTGTCTCACCACTGTTCTCATCTGCCTGCAGTTTAGAAGGATAACTGAAATGAGCAGTCAGGCAGTTTTAAAAAGCAAAGGCAAAAGTGCTGTTCACCCTTCTAAACATGCTCATCTCCTCCCATGCTTTGACTGTGCTGGAGGGAGAAGGGCCACGGTATTGCATGGCTGATAAAGTGCCATTTCATAAAGTACATTCCCATTTTTTGCCTTGCTATGAAAATATTTGTGAATTCATTTTTAAACATCAAAAATGTCTGCTCTTGGTACTCGGTGCCTCTCCTCGGCAGTGATCATATGACCTGGCACCTTAAGCGCTGGGCTGTGACTTAGGGACTATGTTTTAATGTTCAGGAGTCCATCTTCTGTTATTGATGCCAGCTGAGCCACCATCCATAAAATGTGAATAATAAATTGAATGATGCTGGAAAATAAAGAACAGTAATAAATTCTTCACATCATTCTGAAGTGATATAACTGTGTGATAAATTATGGTAGAGACCATAGTAGAAGGAATACATTTTGAGTCCTTAGGAAGATAGATGTTTTTATAAGTTTGGGTTACTTTGGATCTGATTGTTTGGACAACAAGTCCCTTGGGTGTACGTGTGTGTACAATGCTAAGCCAACAGTGCTGGAACTTTTCACTGTCAACACTCTTATCCTGCCCTCCACAGTTACGAATCTCATACTTAAAAGATTCTGTTAAGTTTACACTTGTATTTACTAATAATAGCAAATGCATGGTTCCATAAAAAATAATCACTTATAAAACTGTGGTTATTATGTAATAACTGCTATTTTTCTGATTGTTAAAACTGGAGATAGAGAAAAACAAAATTAACATTTTTGTTAATCAGGGCAGGCTAATTGTGGGTAAGTCTCTGGTCTAGCTGAAATAATCAGCATAGTATAAGTATATTTTTCCTATGTTTTGGGACTTCCAGAAGTCCAGGAAATACAGATTGAGAGCAACTTGACAAAGTATTGGTAAATTCAGCTTCAGATGCCAGGGTCTCTAGGCAAGTATAGCTCTTAAAAATATTAGAATATGATACTGTTTCAAAAATTGTTGGGTTACTCATTCTAGAGACTAAGCTATAAATATTTCCCACAAAGGCATTATTTACCATGATGAAATAACGTTAGGTGAGTTAAGAGAGACTTTTCTAGAGATCTGTTTGTTTTGAACCTGTGTCTGTGAACGTCTTCCAGTCACAGAGTTCTCCATCCTTCACACCGGTGACCCACAACCAAGAACACCAGAGAAGACTCTCTTTTCTTTTAAAGAAGCACCACTATATATAGTATTCTAAATGGGTGTCCTTAAGTTTTAAAATGTTGATATGGCATACATTACTAGGTTTTTAAATTTTTAAATGATGCATTTGCACTATTTATCTATTCCTCATGTGTTTTAATTCTATGGCAAACCTGGTTGGAGAGGGGCAGTGTACTCACTTAAGAAATCATGATCTCAGGTTGAAACATTAAATGATAAATGGCATTTCTTTTTCTAGAGACTGGATCCCCAATCACAGCATCATGTATTGGATTAGGTAATTCTAAAACACCTCCTCCGGGACAAGCAGGAAAATGTGTTCCAGGATACAATGGTGAGAAATGACCCTGAATTTTTAAAATATGTGAGACTGATAAATTTGGTATCTTTGTGTATGTGTATAGTGTGAACCACATCACATGAAACATGCTAGGTGCTTAGTAAGTATCTGATCAAATGAACAGCTGTATTAATAAGAAGTGCCTTATTATTAACTAATTTGATCGAAAGTAAGATTGCAGACTTCCAAGGATGTGTTCTTGGTTATGACATCATAACCAAGAAAATAATATCATTTATAAGGCATGTTAAGAACAAGGACAAATTGGTATTTGCAGAATAGTCACAGGATGTAAAGTATAGCTTAGAGAGTATAGTCAATAATGTTGTAGTGACTATGTATGGTGCCAGAAATATCAGAAGAACTCTTTGTAAAGTATATGATTATCTAACCACTATGCTGTATACCTGAAACCAATAAAAATAATATTGAATGTAAACAGTAATTGAAAAAATAAAATTTAAATTAAAATATGGATGTGAAATTAATATTAAGAAATCTTCTAGGTACCAAGTAATTTGGATATATTATTTGACTTCACATTGAAGTATTTTTAATTCAGAGATATTATCATTTTAGAGATAAACTACCTGGTGCCCAGACAGACTAAATAACTTCCCTAAGGTAACTCAGGTCCTGGTTAGGTCCTGAAGATAATACAAATCATGTGTTTTACTTATTTTGTTTGTTTGCTTGTTTTTGTTACAAAAGCTGCAGGTTTTTTTCCTTTTTTTTTTGCATTATTCTACCTTTTAATTTAAGAAGACGATAAGGCTTTTGAAGCTTTTGGGTTAAGATAAACATAAAGAGTGAGGGTTCTAAAAACAAAAATCATTTCATCCATGTTGGCAATATATGATAATGAGATAAAATACCCTTCAGTATTTGTTGTTAAATTGTTGATAGTGATTATAGAAGTCCAGTAATTACCCTTGGACTGTATACATTCCCTAGTTACATTTAATTATGGAAGTTACCTACCTTTTCAAGCCTTCAATTTCCTTATTCCACATGCGCCCTAGAGTTGCTGTATTGTGATGTAGCATAATGAAGCTTTAACACAAGTGACAACCAATAGGATGGCTAAATTAACTCTAAGCTAGTAATGCGACTGAAACTCCAGAGAAGCCAGATGGACTGACTTGATTTAGACTCACACTTTAATTTTATGGACAAGGAAAATGAGACACAGAAGTTATATTATTTGTACAAGGTCACACAATTTAACAATAGATTTATAAGGAAACCCCAGATTTGTGAGACAGAAAAATATTTCTACATATAGTTCCTATTTGCATGTAAATTACAAAATTTAGAGCTTTGTCTTTTGCTTCTCTAACACAGGAACATTTATTTTCCTCCTAGCACAATGACTAGTTAAGAAAATGTGGTACATTTGGTTTAACCCAGCAGATACATTTATGAAGACACTTAAGGTTTTTTTTTAAAGGGCAGAAATAGATATTTCATGAAGTCCGTGACATCTTCAGGCCTGGAAAGGTGAATTCGGTTTTAGTAAAATCCTCCCTTTGAACAGTTCTGCCATCCCCACTCCTTTTACCAGAAAAGCTGCCTTTGTGTTGAGCTGCTTTTAGGGGCTGACGGTTGTGGGAGATGTTGACCATGTCTTCCTTTCGGTAGTTCAGTGCCATTTTTGTGTCCGGTGGTCCAAAAACACTAAGCTTTGATGTCTCCTGGAATTTCAATACAGAAGTGTCTCATTGTCTGGCAGCCATTGGCTTACAGATGGCACAGGTTAGACATTAGATCTAAAGTATTTATAACCGAGGAAATAGTGACTTCGTGACTCATGATCTTTATGTGTCCTGTGGCTTTTCAGAGATTCAAACACATAATGTAACATTCAATACTAGAATAAAAAAGCAGTAGTATTCTTTTGAGAGAGGAAAGAAAACCATTTTTTGTGTTTGAAAAGCATGCAGTACGATGTAACACAGCTTCACATTTATGGAATATTTTATACACGTGTGTCACTTTATTTTTTTTTTCAAGTAATTCTTATACTAACACTATGAGAAAGGAATTGTGCTCACTTTTTAGATGGGGAATTGAAGAGGTAATAGAATGTACTCAGAGGCACATAATAAATAGGCCCCTGTACTGAGATTTGGGGAAACAAAGATGAATGAGGCATGGCCTCCACCCTTAATGAACTCACAATCTAGTGAGAGACAGATAGTTGCCCTGCTAATAATTGTCAGAATAGAATTTTAAAACAAAGTGCTGTAGGCACACAAAGAGGGGAGTGATTCATTTTTTTCTGGGGATAATGTCCTTCTTTTCTTGTAGCTTCTTTCAGCAGAATAAACTGGATGGATGAGCCACATAAAGAATCTATTAAAGCTTAAAACATGATGATATATCCTCATTTCCAGTTTCCACTAAGGGTTACTGAATATGGATGTAAGGCTTTGATCTCATAATATCTTTCAGGGTGTTAACAGTGTAACACAGATAACATTGGGATAATATTTGGGAAGGTTAAATTGACCTGTGAGGCTTGTAAGTGGAAATGAAGCCTTAAAGCAGAAAAATGGTGTTTCCAGGCTTTTTAATACTTTATTTATATTGCTTAAAATATTTTTAGTGTATTTTAAAACCCTATGTGTTTCCTTTAATTTTTGAAAAGCAACATATTTTTAGTATTTTGATGGAATGGGATACCATTTAAATGGATAGTTTAAATGGATAGGAACATAGACTTTGAAATTACTAGCGTGTTCAAAATATAGTATCTTCATTTAAGGGAGATTCTAAGGAAAATTTATGTTCTTGTTAGAAATTGAAAGCATGTACTCTTTAAAATTTTTGAGATATTTTAGTTACTTATATATGTTTAAGTCTCACAGAACTTACAAGATTCCCTTTTCAGGCCAGAGTGGAAATATTTGGAAATATTTATGCTTTAAGGTTGTGCAGTTTTATTCAAAGTACTTATTTATTTATTTCTATTTTATTTTGAAGTTATGATTTTGGATGACAACATGCAAAAACTGAAGGCTCGGTGTTTAGGAAATATTGTGGTAAAGTAAGTAAAATTTGCAATATGACTATTTGAAAAAGTAAGAATTAATATTTAGCTTTAAGAAAAGGGAATGTTTTCAACAAATGACATTACTTGTGAGGAGGTTGCAGAATGAGCTTGTATACAGTTTGAGAGCACACGGTGCCAACTCTTGTAATCTATACGTGTAAGTGTCATACAGTGGAATACATTTAGGTACAATTTTAAAAAGATAAATATTGCATTTCTTTAATGATGTTTTTCTGATTATATAAGTAATTGTATTGTATAATACATGGATGATAAAAGTAACTTAAATACCAAAAACACAAAGAAATATAGTTGTGTCCTCCTGACCTTCAACAATACACCATTAATTTTGTAATATATATATTCACAAGCATTTTAGGTTGTTGAAACAATTTGGCTTATTCTTGTGTATTTCTGTTTTCCTTAACCCTGTTTCATAAGCATTTTTAACTTTTACTCTGCTTCTTAAAAATGCTTATCCCCATTATAGGCCTCTTAGTCTTTTTTGAATATTTATGATTATAAATAATTCTGTATTTAACATCTTTGTGTCGTATTCTCTCCTGATAATTATTATAGTATTGAGTAAATTTCTAAAAGTATAATTACTGAGCCAAATAGTAGCATAATATAAAATCCATAACTTATCAAGTATAGTTTGTTGCTAACATTTTTGTCAATGTTCATTTGATAGGCAGAGTGGTAAATTTTGAAAATATTTAAATATACTTTGATTAAACCAATACTTTGACATTGTTATGCTGATGGAAGCTGACTAAGTTGGGAGACACACAGAACTGGCGAAGGTCGGTCGCTTTAGTGCCTCTGGTTTTGGAATTTTCACTGAATGGTTTAAGTAGTAGAATTTACTGATATGATTTAAGTAGAATGAACTGCTATAAATATAGGACATTGCATGTCAAGTCCTATAATAGTTTTGCTTTCCTATTTATTTTAAATAGTTTTTATTACCTGGCATTCTCATGTTGGTAGAATATTATCTCAGATTAATAAAACATTTCAAACTCTGTGAAAATCAAATGAAAAATAGTAATTTTTTTAAAAAAACATGTTTCTTTAGGTAGAGATACTTTAACTTAACAAACAGCTGATAGAGGAGATACGCTTTCTGATAACTGCATCAGATTCTTATGTTATCAGTAAATGTATAACCATGATATCACTTTTTAAAAGTTTAAATTTTAAGACATCTTTTGAGAAAATGGAAAAGTTAAATATTAAATGTACCATTTATTGTCATATTTTTCTGAATCAGAATCCATATTAACATAGAGCTAATTGAAATTTGACCTGTAAGAGGGAACACGTTTGGATTGGATGGAGGGTTCCCTGAAGAATTAATCTGAACAAGATTGTGAGTAGAGGTGTAGCCTGCTGAGGGAAGCACATGGCTTTTATGTAACCTACAGCAGCTGGGGCAGGATCTCAGTGGTGGCATTCGATACCAGCACAGTTTTAAACCCCTCACATGCTCTGCCCTCTAATTATTGGTCTCTTTGCCTCCCATCTGTTTAAAATAATAAAATATGATAATAGCCCACATAAACTGTAATTTCTCTTCTAGCCATTAATGTTACTACAACTAATTGAAGGTAACACTACTATTGCCAAAAACATTCCATGGTTTAGATTGTCACCAATTCAGAATGATTTTCCTCTCTCTCTATTCCTAACAGGGAATTTTATTGTTCAGCTCTGGCATTTTGAGATTTCATCATAAATTGTTTGGACATTCAGTATATTATGACATGCAGTGGACTTTGATTCCTCCTTAAGTCAATAGTGAAATAAGATATTTGAAAATTTCATCCATAGTATATATATGTAGTTTATATAATATATAATTATATTTAAAAGTTAAGGTAGAAATATCAAGGAAAAAGTTATTACTAAGATGTCTCTTATTTTAGTGGAACAGTACTTGAAACCTTATTTCAGGAACTCATTTTCATCTGTGGAAACAAGGATTTCCTTCTGAAACCCACACATCCAGTATTCGTTCCACTCTAACTCATTGGCCTGACAATTATTTCTGCATCCCAAGACTACTTACAATATTCATAAGATGTTTTCACATTTCATATCGATCAAGAAGACTTGTTTGTGTCCATTTATTAGCTGTTTGGTGTGCCCTGAGGGGATGTAGCATTCATCCAGAATGGAAAATGATCAATGAATTTTTTAAAAGCATATAATGAGTAAATGCTTAATTGAAGTTAAGTGAAAGGAAAAGCATACCTTCTTGACTTAATAAAAATTACTGTGATTTTAAAAAACAGTCTGTAATTTGAGAGAAAAACATTGTTTCTCTGTGGGCCACATTTTAAAGGAGATTTATGATCTGGAAGCAGGGTCCTTTCCAGAGACCAGCTGCATGGCCCCAGAGCACTTGTGGCCTGTAAATGGTGTTTGATTAGGGGTTATGGACAGTGTCTGAGATTCGATAAATATTTGAGATTCTAAACTTTAAGAAATGTATTGATCCCAAAATTTGAGAAATGCATAATCAAAATGAATATATGTTTAATTAAATATGTATAAAATTTTATGTTATATCAACTTCATGGTCAATTTAACATTCATGATTTTTTCATTTTATCTGTGAATAATTTTTATGTCATACTTTCTCACTTCCCATGATTCCTGTATATGTACAATGATTGCTGGGAAATAATAACCAATGGTAAACTGTATGTGTGGCTTCTTGTCAAATGATTTCAAAACCAAAATTGGAAGCTTCTCTTTTTTCAGAAAATGTGCTAGCTTATATGATATACTGCTATATTTTCTTTTCTTGTCATGGATAAGGGGTGTGGCCACTAGTAATCAGGATGACTTGGTGCATGAAGGGTTTGATGCTTAGCTGGCATTAAAGTTACCGCTAGGTGGGCTCTGTATAATAATTAAATGGAATAATTTTTGAAAGAAGAATATTCCCTAATGCCATTTATGTTCACTAAAAATATTTATGGTTATTATAAAGAACAGAGGGAAAAGTCTGCATGGAATATTTGCAAAATAAGGAGTTCAAAGTATGTTAAAATAAGTCAGTAAAAAATCATAACTCATTGTTTTAATCCCAAATTAGTTTGACTTTAGTAAGTACAGCTATAGCTTCTTGTCTTACTGTAAAATCTGTTGTAAATAGTATAAATAACATTGGAACCTCTCTCTGGCAGTTTCCTTAAAATCTGAAGTTATAGTCATATTTCCATGCTTTATAAGCTACTAAATGAAATAATTTGTTTTATTACATTAAGATGACACATTCCAAATCAGAAAAATGATATGTACTAATTTTTAAGAAAAAAACCTCTTAATCCACTTTGGTTTTTCAAACTGCTTTGTTAAGGCCTTCTAGAAATCCTGGGTTTGCTCTCCTGGGGATTCCTTCCCTGGAAGGTAGGCATTTTAGTGATTCCTAAACCACTGCAGACCTTGGGGTGTAATAAACATGAATCTTGCAGTTTTCATAGAACACTTGCATTCATAAGATTAACCTTTCTCATAGAAAACTACGCATCTGCATGGATGTTAGGAAATGCTTTGATTCTGAAACTTACTCAAGGCAGTTAATTTAGTGGAGAAGTTTGATATCTGAGCTATGAATACAAAATG